CCAATGCAACCCTGCTGCCCCCTAAACCCTGAGCAGTCATCTTGCTCTGTGCATTTCCCACCTTCCTGCAGACATTGGACTCAGACTGCTTTTCCGACCTGGTGCCAACTTCCTCCATGACGGATTTTACCATCTTGATCCCCGTTTGCCCTCAACCCTTTCCCACTTGCTGGCCTGTTCAAGATTGGAAAAAAAATGCAATGGGAAGATTGTCTGGGATGTCCAACCCTGTGCTTATCTATCTCCACTTCTCTGCTACTGGGCCCCATATCCTGCTTCAGCAGAGTGATGCAGACCTGGGAATCCCGTGGACCCCATGTGTCATTAACTTGGAAGAAAATCCCGAATTGGCCTTTGCAAACACGTCACCTTCTCCAGAGCCTCCCACGCCAGCGCACGGGGTCCAGGCTCACTGTCTCGCCAGCTGCCTCGCGTGCCCCTGTCACTGTAATCTGCTCAGGACAAGGGTGACATCTGACCAAGATCCATACCCATGGCAATGGCAGCTCAGGTTCTTTCGGTTTGAAAGAGCAGAAGCGCGCTCAATTTCCCTAATGCATGGGGCCCTGCATTTTATTTCTCTCTACATACTGTGTTCTTCATTGGAGACATAAGTTACACAAAAAAGGAAAAGGTATGAGCTACGAGTATCAGCCTGTTCCTGTGACTCCCACAAAATGTCGGAAGCAGGAAACTGTGCAAAGAAAAGAAGTTGGTTCTGTTTAGCTCGTAGTTTGCACTTCTGGGGACCATGGGAATCATAGTAGCAACCAAAGTCACAAAGGACCCGCTGGGACAGAAGCAGCTCTGTCTCCCACGGTGGCTGTTTTCCTCTGTAGTAATAGGTTTGCGCTATTTATTCGCTCACTGGTGAGGGGTCCTTTCAACTCAAGTTGTACACAAGCCTTAGGAGCCACCGAACTGGACGACTCAGGTCTCAGGTCCCTCGAGGACCAGGGCTGGGTTCAATGTTTGTCAACCAGGACTGCACGGGAGTTCAAGTTAGAATCTCCTGTAGATGCTCATTGTGCATCATGGATCCCAGGGCCCTTGATTCCTGAGTCACGTCACTTAGCTGGCCAGCGTCTGGAGGTAGCCAGCATCCAGTCCGCCTGGTTCGGTATCCTCTGTGACCTCCAGGGAGCGTCAACTTGTGTTCTAGCCACCCTTTCTCCAGTGGCCTTAAGCTACACTCCAGGCCTCAGGAAAAACCACGGAGGAGGAGGCGAAGGAGGAGGAGCAAGAGGAGGGAGAAGAGAAGGAGGAGGAATCGCTGTTTGCTAATGGACCACAGACACTGCACTAGTTCAAGGGATTAGAAAAGCAGATAACACGGGCCCTTATCTCCTGTCAGGGATCTAGACATCACAAGAGCAACCCATCCAATGAGTTGGATCTGTATCTCTCTCTATGCTCTATGCTAGTGCGGTCCGTGCTTCTATGTTGTTTTGCACGGGTGGCGGGGGTGGGGGGCGGGGAATGGTGGACACAGGGTGTGGCCGACTGGCAGATTCTGGGAAGGCCAAAGGGGTGACCTTTGAGTCAGCCCTGGAAGGATGTAAAGGAGGCCATCCAAGAGATCATGCAGAAAAGACGTCCTCGGTGAAAGCCATAACTTGTGCCAAAGATTATCTGTGCAAAGAATGTGGCAAAGGTGAACCCATGAAGTCCCATCGTCTAAAAACTCAAATGGAGCAACACAGGTACCAGGTATGGAAACCTTGGGAAATAAATATTATGTTTTTAGAGTTCTGTTCTTTTGAGAAAATAGGTGATTAATAAGAGCACTTGATGTATACACACACATATATATTTCATAGATGGAAATGTATATAGAAAGGATTCACAAGCTCCATATTATGATCGCCAACCTAATTTCAAGGCGCCTGTATCAATTTCTTTGAAATATTTGCAGAATTGAAAACTTGGGCCTTGACAGTGCTTAGGGGACTGGTTTATCTGGAAGAAGCAGAAAATCCAGTCCAAAGTAGCTCCCAACAACAACAGATACCCCAAACCCAAAGGGATGTATTGTCTTACCTAACTGCAAATCCAGAACTCGCTTGTATTTGGAAATGACTAGAAGCAGGTCCTCCCACATTGTCATGGGTAACCTCTCCCCCGCACTCTCTTCCTCCCTCTCTCTCTCTCTCTCTCTCTCTCTCTCTCTCTCTCTCTCTCTGTATATACACACACACATCTTCCCGCAGGGCACCAAATTCCTCTCCGGTCCGACCCCTTGTGCTCCAAGGCCTCCTGCTCACGGCCACCAGGATGATGACTGAGCAGAACTTGAACTCCAGACGCCAAACTTGGTTTCACCGTTTTTCCTCTTAAACTGGCTTCTCTCCATTTCTTTGAGGTTCTTTCAACACGTTCTCGAATCAATTAGTGGGAGTACAGAGACGTTGGTAGAAAACATCGTCAGATAGGCTCACACACAGGTCTTGGAGGCCAGAGGGTACGCTCTAACCCTCCTGCCTCCCTTCCTCGAAGGTCTCCTGCTTTGGCCGCGCTTCATGCCTGGGAAGTCGGTCCCCAGGGTCATGACACGGAGGTGATGGGAGCTTGGAGAGGTGGGGCCTGGCGCGTGATCAGGTCTTCGGGCTGCGCCCTCGTGAGTGGAATAACGCTGTCTCCCAGAGGTGGGGTCAGGTCTGGGAGGAATCAATGAGCTCTCCTTGAAGTTTGGTGTTATGTAAAGAAAGACCCTGGCTCCTCCCTGGTGGCCTGTGTCTTTGCCACACATATGACCCTCCTGCACTTGGCTGGACCCTTTTCTTCTTCTCCGCCATGTTGGGATGTGGCCAAGGGGAAAGCAGGACCATGCTGTCTGGGCTTTCCGGCCAGAAGGATGGTGAACCAAGAAACCTCTGCCTATACACGTGACGGGTAGCCCCGAGCCACAGTGATGGAAATTTAATTCTCTGCTGCTTTCAAATTATCCATCATTTTGAAGGGTCATTTGAGATGTCTGCTGTCAGCTTTCACCAATGAATTGGAGGCTGCCTTGCAGATTTTCTGACTTCACAGACTAAAGCCTCAGCTTCCCAGGGAGGTAGACGTGTCCAGGGCCGGGTGCCTGGGTCTGTCTGTCGGTGTGTGTTCTAAAGGTGTGGGGGTGAAGGTTCCAGGAATCTGAGCCCCTGTTTGCAAAGGGGCTCTGGGGTCTGCAAATATACACCCCCAGGATTGATGGAGTTGCGTTTCTGAGAACATCTCTGTGTGCTTTGGCTGTCTGGGTTTGTGTGTGAATGAACTTTATTTGAGTTTCTATCTAACAAGGGACACGTTATTTTGAAACTCCATATTAAAAAAAATATAGAGATCATTTCTCCTTTGGAGCATCTTTTCTTCTAGCTGCGAATAATCAAAATGCAGTGATAATTGAACACATTAGCCCCTTGGGAAAGAAAAAAAAAATCAAGGAATCCACTCCTCCATTCCCACCTTCAGGAGGACCTCAGCAAACAGTTCAGGAGAGACCCCTCAGACCCAGCAAGACTCCTCTGGCTGCCCCCAGATACGCCCTCAGGTGCTACAAGTGACACAAAGCGAGACCAAAATTATTGTTTGGGGTGCGTAGAGGAAGCAGGGGTGGCCAGGGAGAGATGGGGGAGCTCTTTATTTGGCAGGTGCTCCTGCCTGGAGCCTGGATTGAGGGGTTTTCTCTGAATCCAAGGAGCAAGCAGACCCGGAACCTGCTGTGGGCGGGTGGGGAGTCTGCCTTTGCCCCACGGCCTAGGGTAAGCCCTTCTGTTTTTCTAAACAGAGGATGAGAAGCAGTGAGTTCAAGGTCCCCCACAGCCCACAGCAGGACTGGAGGTTCCCAATGAGGGGTGTTATGCAGAATCTGTTTGTAGTTCAAGTTCCTTGGGGGGCTCAGCTCCAAAGAGTGTGCCTGGGGGTTGTATGTGTGGACACATTGTAAACGCTCCGATCCACAAGCCGGTGGTGGCAGCTGTGATGGTGGCATTAAAAACCAATGCTAAGAATGGTGTATATGTGAGCGCATGCACACCAGTCATCAGGCAGGTGATCGGCCACTTGAGTACGGCTCCTTGTGGCCACTGGGCTGTAGGGTGGCCACTGGGCTGTAGTGTAAGAAGTGTGAGATCTGACTTGTGTGACCCCATTGTGTGACTCTGACTCCGTGCACCTGTGTGCTGCTGCTTCCGGGGACTCCAGGACGCTATTTGTGAATCACAATCTGGGCCAAACTCGCGGTCGCGGAGGCACCGGCATGCATCGTTATGGGGGTGCATACACACGTGGAAGTGTGCTCACTCCCCTACCTCCATACACAGAGGACTGTCCCTTAGGCATGAACTGTGTCCTGACACCCATTTTGCATAGAGATGGAGTCAGCTACAAAGTCACTTGCGGAAGATTTGGATACAAAAATTCAGGATACAAAAATTCAATCGTCTGCTTCCAATGTAGCAATGCTCACACTCCTAGGGGGCATTTGGAGAGGCGTCTCCTGTAGATGCTACAACATTTCTTATCCACGGTCCAGGACCTCAGTTCTCCCATACATTATATATCCCAGACCCACCCTGGAATCCGCCCATGCAAAATGCCAATCGCGCCCCCACCTGGGAGTCCAGGTGCACAATTAGAATTCCCGAGAAATACGCCAAGCACAGGGCAGGCCATTCTCAGACAATCATCTCAACATACATACGGAATATCCCATACGACAGCGTACTGCCATACCTAAGGCAAGGAGACACAGTCGTCATACTCAACATGCACACAAAGAATCCAAAAACACAGGCCTGCAGAGACCCGCTAAACCACATAGTTGCAAATCAAAGGGCATTTTAACATTTTACTTTATTTGTGTGTGTCTGTGGGTAGGTGTACTGGGGATTGAACTCAGGGGCACTCAACCCCTGAGCCACATCCCCAGCCCTATTTTGTATTTTACTTAGAGACAGGATCTCATTCAGTTGCTTAGTGCCTCGCTTTTGCAGAGGCTGGCTTTGACCTGTCAATCCTCCTCCCTCAGTCTCCAGAGCCACTGGGATCACAGTTGTGCGTCACTGTACCTGCACCACGTTCCATTTCATCCTTAAGACAGAACAATTCTGAGAAAAAGTATCGTACTCATTGTAAACAATGAGAACAGCGACTCCCAATTGTTAATGTACATGCCAATCCTGTGACAGTGTCGATTCCCATCCAGTTGGTCTGGGGTAGGGCCTGGAATTGTCCATTTCCAACCAACTCTTAAGATATCCTCATGCTACTGGTCCACAAAGTTCCAAAACGCTGATTCTCAAAACTCGGTTACACATTGAGATCACCCTGGAGGATTAAAAAAAAAAAAAATCGATGCCTCCCCCCGCCCCGCCCCACTGTAGACTTTGACTTTGCTGTCTGAAGGTGATACTTAGGCAGGGGAAACCTCTGGCTAGTTCCAACAAGCAGCAAACCCCAAGAATCCCCTGTGGTCCCCGACATCAGAGTCGGGCCAAGAAAGCCGACCTCTATCCATGCAGCCAGTTGACTCTAGTAGGAGATCCCATTTGTGTGGCCCACTGTGTGGTTCTGACCCATGCACACCTGCAGGATGGGACCTACCTCTCCATCTCCTCCCTTCACCCCTGGAAGAGGTCAGTAGGGGGTCTTTGCAACACCAAGCTGATTCGGATTCTTCCCACCAGCTCTTGTATTTTTTTTTTTAAGTGTGTGCACTTGATTTCACATTTGACAGTGAGTGGATTTGTCTTAGAACAGCAGTCTTCAATCTCGGCAGCACAGGAGAATCACCCGGGGTCCCGTCTGCAAAAAATTCGAATCCAACTGGACTAGAATTCATATTTAAAAGCAAAACGCAGCAACAGAAAACTCAACCTGCCCGGATGGTCCTGGAGGGGGCAGCCAGAATTGGGAAGAGGGGACTTACAATGTCAAGCCCGAGACCCACGGGGGTGTAGGAAAGCTCGGCTTGCCGCTTCATCCGCAGACTGTGGCCTCTGCGCCGCATTGCTGGATATTTCCACGTGAGCCATACTGTTCCCTAACTTTGAGTTGTTTTTTTTTTAAACACAATGTTCTCTTTTCTGAAATGACTTCTCACATTGTCTCCATTTGGAAAATTCTTATTCTCTGCTGTCACCTCATTTTTGAAATCTTTTCTGCTCCGCTGTGACAGATTTAATTATTCCTTCTTAGGTAGCTGCCTCTGATCCGGTGCCGTAGCTCTATTGTAACTCCTGGTGATTACGTTCCCACGGATCCAGCCTCTCCCGCACGAAGGCAGGATGGAGAAGTGGGGTCGTCCCTTCTTCCAGGGCTGTAGGCTGGGAGAGAGGAAAGACCGACCGGTCAAGCCAGGGTGGACTTCCCCATCTACTTCTGGGGCCACTGGGGATGGGGGACAAGTTACGGATCTGCTCCTGGATTTCCTCCCTTCTCCAACATATAAACAAGAAAGCGTGCTGGCGAGGCTGATTAAGTGAGAAATTGGCACAGGAGGGATGTTTGGAAAAGAACTGAGTATTGCAATCATGACCTTAATGGTGTGGGCTTCCCTCCCAGCACGGGTCTTGAAGAGGGCAGGAATCCTTGCAGTTTCACCTGCCTGAACTGGAAAGATGCTCCTTGGACGCATACAGGTGACATGCATGGCGACAATCACTGGAATGTGAAATGAAAATCCCAAAGACTGACTTCAAAGGTGTTGATAGCCTCTAGTCCAAGAATCTCTCTTCTGGGAATGTAGCTTAGGAAAATGAGACCAAGAACTCCAACAGTAACGTTGCACAGAGACGTTCATGGCTACATTTTATATATATTAGCAGAAAGAAAGAAAATAAGCATCCGTGGAAGTCTTCTGAAATGGCCCCAAACCGTACTGGGCGAAGTGAATTACGGTCCATCTTTATAAAACCATATCGATCCGCTATTTAGAAGCTCACTACAGAATATCACGGAAACGTTTGGAAATGGTTATGTTCTAATATTAAATTCAAAATGACAAATTCAGAATGATTACACTGGGATTAGATTTGTCTGAGTTTCACCAGCAGGAGGAAAAAAAATACTAGAAGGGAATCAGTTGAAAGAAGATAGGCATCTATTTTATGGTGTTATATTTCTTGTTTTGCCCTCTTCATTTTTTTTTAAAAAAAGGAATCTATTTTTAAGCGGGGATTTAATAAAGTCATTCTTTTTTCTTTCCCTCAGGATAGAAACTGGACCATTTCATAAGTCTGCGCTGAGGGTGTAAGTCTTAGAAGAATCGGGGACTGTACTCAGAAGGTGCAGTTCCAACCTGTACCCTCCAGGGGGCACCTTCTCATGGGACAGACAGGCACAGACTTATACTCAAATGTGAAAGCCAGGCACCGCAACACACGCCTGTAATCCTAGCAGCTAGGGAGGCTGAGGCAGGAGGATGGAGAATTCAAAGCCAGCCTCCGCAAGGGTGAGGCACTAAGCAGCTCAGTGAGACCCTGTCTCTAAATAAAGTACACAATAGGGCTGGGGGTGGGGCTCAGTGGTCAAGTGCCCCTGAGTGCAATTGCTAGTAGCCCCCCACCAAGAAATAAAACCAGAATCATACGAGCAGGGCACGGTGGGGTGCACCTGTTAATCCTAATTCTGGAGGAGCATCTTAAGTTCAAGTACAGCCTGGGCAACTTAGCAAGCCTCTGTCTCAAAAAATAAAACCGTCCAACAAACAGGGCTGGGGATGTAGCTCAGTGGCAGAGCACGCCTGGGTTCCGTCTCCAGTACTGAAAAATGATTGTTTCTCATAGCGTTAAGAATGATGAGAACTTCATCCTGGCTGCAGACTGCAGATCAGGCCATGCCTTCTGTTAAAGCCCTTCGGTGCCTCCCACCTTCCCAGCATAGAAGTCCAAGGTGACAGCAGCCTCCCAGGTTCTGCATGCCCTTGGTGGTCAGGGCCCAGGTCTTCTGTTCTGCAAGGCACGTCTTCACCCCGCCCACTCTGAGCACTGCTGCTCCTCTTCTAGTTGAGCATGCCAGCCCCAGGGCCTTTGCAAGTAGTCTCCTCTGCCTAAAATGCCTCTTCGCCACCCCCAGACACCCAGATCATCAACTCTCACTTCCCCAAGTCTTCGTTCAAATGTTATCATTTTAGTGAAGCCCCCCCCTCCAAAACATTGCAACCCCCAAGTCTTCTCTGCTTTCTATTTTTCCCATAGCAATTGTTACTATAAGACATAGATGATGTAGCGGGGCATAGTGGCGCAAAGCCTGCAATCCCGGCAACTGGGGAGGCTGAGGCAGGAAGATCACCAGGTCGAGGTCAGCCTCAGCAGTTTAGCAAGAGCCCGTCTCAAAATAAAAAAATAAATAAGTAAAAAGGGCTGGGGACATGGATCAGTAGAAAAGTGCCCCTGGATTCAATCCTCAGTACAGGAAAAAAAGAAAAGAAAAAAAAGGAGAAAGAAAAGAAAAGAAAAAAAGAAAGGACATATGTATTTATTATTTGGTTTCCGTCTCATTTCTCCAACACTGACGTTCATGGCAGACAGGGCTTTTAGTCTGGTTTCTTCAGTGCTGAATTGCCACAGCCCAGAATGACGTCTGGCACTCAGAAGGCCACCCACAAATATTTTTTGAATCAATAGAAGAATGGGTGAGCTTTAGCGTCTTTGCCTACAAAAGGTGGCAGAACGCTCCTTCCCTCTCCTCTGGCTGAGTCACCATCAGAGCAGCTGGCACCCAACAGGCACTCAGAAAGCAGGAGCATAAGGTGACTGTGGAGTCAGCTGGGGAGAGAGCAGCAGGCAGGGCCAGTGGGCGCCAGGCAGCCAGAGTCCCCTGCAAATGGAGCCCTGCACCTGGGAAGCCCCAGTGTCTCCCTGGGAATCTCAGTGCATTTTAATAAGAAAACAGAGTTTGTTTTGAAACCCCGTGAGCTTCCTTTCCCCTCTGCTGGGAGTGAAGAGTGCGCATCCCCAGATCTTCATTATGTTCTGTCTCCTTCTCATCTTTCAGGTTTTAGCTCAAAAGTCTCAGGCAGACCTTTTCTGACCACCCCAGCTATAGTAGTGCATGCCTTGCACACACACACACACACACACATACACACACACACACACGCACACGGACACACGCCCCATCTGGATCTCAGTACGGGGCACTTTGCGGTGATTCCTACTCCCTGGAATCCTAAGATCTAGTGATTTTCCTGTGTCTTTCCTTCCCCTGTCTAGCCTTAGGCTAGGTACTGTCTTCACCGTGCAGCAGGGGACACCTCTGGGGGCCATAATCGGGCAGGAACACAGTAGGTACTCATAATAAATCTGTGGAGATCAGATTGGGTCCTTCCCCTGAAATCGGAGCTGTCTCAGTTTGGTGCATTCCTCGTGGCTAAGAATTCTTTCTTGAAGGGAGACGGTGCTATACGCCTCCAAGGTCCCGGCCCTCAGGTACAGAGGGCAGGTACAGAGGAGGGACCTGGACAGAGGACAGGAAAAGGGAACAGGAGGGAGATGAGGGCGTAGGAGCCAAGGAGACAGATGCCCAAGTCGGAGCAGTGGGAACCCTGACCTCAGGAACCTTCCCTGGCTTGCACCGGGGAGGCCGACTGTGCAGCTGCGGAGAAGCCCCATGTCAGTGAGGGTCCTGGCCGGCCCGGGGCTCACCTGCTGTCCTGTAAACCTGCCCAGTCCTGGGGGCGCAGGTGGGCGTCGTGTTTGCTAACTGACAGCGTCTAATTGCCTCCCCTCTGAATCCAGAGACCTGCGTCCAGAGCCGAAGGGCTTTTCCTGGCAGAGATGGCCACAAGAGAGAGAGGAACCCCCCTTTCCTATTGGAAATGCTGTTTACCAACTCAGAAGACAGGATTCGGGCCCCGGGCCCACGACATTCTCTACTACATGAGGCAGAAGCTGCCAAGGGCCCCAGCGGAGTGAAGTCAGGGCTGAAGTGCAGTTGTCCTGACAGACCCTACTGGGCACCAGGGGCCACCTACATTCATAGGCCCACATGCATAAAAGCAGATGGCCGTGGACTTCTAGAGTGGACCAATGAGTGACCAGTGATAGTGGTTCAGTTTATGATGTTTTTGACTTTGCAAAAGCAAACATGCTTCACATAGGCTTTCATTCACTAGAAACCGTAGTTTGAATTTTGCTATTTGTATCTTTTCGTCAGTTCTATATTTGATACTCTGACGTGATGCCCTCCGGGGACAGCAAAGCATGGCTCCCATCCTTGTGCCACCCCAAGGATCAACAGGGATACTCTACCTTATTCAGTCGTGCATGGCTGAGCTCTGGTCTTCTGGAGCTTAGGTATATGCAACACATCTTCCACTTCCATATTTTCGATTTAGGATGACTATAAATTATGGTGACTGGACCCCCACCCCCACCCCCGCGGCCAGCTGTGATACCCAGGAGCAAAGGTGTGCCGAGGTGTCTCGGTAGTGATTGGCAGTGTCCCCACTGCACCTCCATCCAAAAAGGATGTGAGGGGTCTTTTGCAAAAGGCTCATGTGAGGAACGAGAGGAAAACTGTAGAAGGACGTGGTCTCCAGCGGCAGGAAAACCTCTCTGCCCAGCCTGTGTCTGGAACACAGTAGGTCCTCCTAGGCTCAGGAACTAGTGAGCAGGTGCTGCTGGGTGGTCCCACTGGGGTGCAGGGTGAACCCTTCCTCCAATAAGCGAGGTCGGGCTCCGAGCTCCCACTACTCTCCTAAGCTCTGGTGACTCCACGTCTTCTCATGTCCTTATCTGTTTGGGGGCTTCTTTTACTCTTTTTTTTCACGTTTAAAGAAATATCTATTTTAATGCCTACGACTAGAATTTTTAAACTATATTTATTCAGAGAGGCCCTGTTTTTGTTTCTCTAAATATCATCTATTCTATATAAAGATAGCCACCAGTGCTTTTCCTTAGCAATAGTTATTTATTTGTTTGTTTGTTTGTTTGTTGGCATGCCTTTACCTTTAAGGTAGGAATGGCTTTGCTGGGGCTTGGGGGATGAGACTTGCTGTGATGGTCCTAGGTGGGCATTCAAGAGTTGCAAGCTTTTTTA